ATACCTCTGAAGCATGCACGGCAGAGGGCATGCCGGTTGCAGGCCATGACCATTGTGGGGCGTTCACCATCACAGTTAAGTGCACATTCGCTATAGCGCCCAAAGGCACAGATGGGACATACTGCATCTGGATGCAGAGGATGTTCACAATCCGGATACAGGTGGCATCCCTGCCGACAGCGGGCCCGAAAAATGATATGGTTGTAGTGATGTCGACAAAGTCGATGCTTTCCACAACCAAGTGTAACTGTGTCAGTGATCTCACAAAGAAGGAGGTCACATATATAGGACTTGAAAGACTCCAAGGATTCTTCTGTAAGTAGACAAGACAGGTAGCCCCTAATTCTTTTTTGTGTTCATTTGAGTTACATTATCAGGATTTGAAGCCGTGCACTGATCCATTGATTCTAATTTAGATTAACAAGTGGACCCGCCGCGGCGAAGCCGCGGCCCATGGAGGCGGGGAGGAGAGTCAGGGAAGGACGGAGGACGAGGGGTGGCATGTATCCTTCAGATGCCTGGTCTCCAGTTCCCTCATCTTACACCTCTTCTTCCCGGTTCGCCCAGGATCTTTTTTTTCCCGCCAACCCGTCGTCCTCTGTCGGCTCCTTTTCGTCCGCCTGCTCGACCTTCTTTTCCTTCGCCACCTTCTGCCACCTCCTCCACTTCGCACGCCGTCTTCCCCATCCTCCACTTGCTCCTCTCCATCACCCTCTCACTATCACCTCCTTTTCCCTCTCCTGCTCCTCTTCCTGTCCTTCATCCTCCACCATCTCCTGCTCCTTCTTGCCCTTGCCCTCCATTATCTCGTCCTTGTCGTCCCCCTCGTACGCCGCCAAGTCTCTCATAGCCAAAATGACCCTCTCCCCGTCATCTACCTGCTCGTCTTCTCCGTCATCCTCTCAGCACGTCCTCCTTCGCCTGCTTGTCAGCATGATCTGTTAGCGTAATGTCATTTCCGCTTCTATAGAATCGAAATGATGCAGAGAAGATTAGCATCAGTGCTGCGTAAGACTGACACACATAAATCGGGGAATTGTCCACATTATTGAAAAATCTCCTCTTCTGTGTCCTCTTCAGTCGTTTTCTCATCCTCTCACGTTCCCACGTCCGCCTTCCCTCCCGCACACAGCAGGCTCACCACAGGGACAAACGACTCGAAATCTGGCGACGTATCTCCCCATGTTGTAGCAGATGATTCATTCTCATCTTGCACGTTCAGCGGGGGCCTTAACGCACAGCTGGCAGATGCGCTGTTTTTTTCTGTTTTTTTGGGGGGGGTCGTTTTCATACGGGGCCTCCCTCCACGAACCATCACATGGACAAATGCAACATATGCCTGTGTATATCACCCCCTCCTCGCCGTATCCTCCCACCAACTCCTCGTCTTCCCTGGGATCCCCCTCCTGTTCAGTCATGTCCGCATCTTAGTGGCACAGAATGATACAGAGGAGATTTGCATGGCCCCTGCACATCCCTCCTGGTCATCCATCTCCTTTTCCCGCCATCCAAACCTGCGATGCTTCGACGCCTGCGCAGGTCACGCGCATGCCACTTCAACGCCGGCTCAAAAAAAAAAAAAAAAGAAAGGAGCGGAAGGTAGAACAAAAAGTCGCAAAAAAAAAAGGACACAAAAAACTGCTCACTCCTGCTGCTCATCTTCCTACTTGGCCACCTCCACATCCACCCCCTCCTTCTCCTCTCCCTCCCCTTCACGCGACGCTGTGACCTCCACCTGCGCCTCCCCCCCTGGTCATCCGCCTCGGCCTCCTCCCTCGTCCTCTTCCATCCATCCTCATTCCATCCTACCTCCTCCTCGCTTCTCCATTCTCCCTCGTCCATGGATTGTCGGCGTCCTCTTCTCTCCTCCCCCTTCCTCCACCTCCATTCACCATCCTTCTTCCTCCATCATCATCGYCGTCCTGCCTCTTCTCCTCTGTCCTCCTCCTCCCCCCTCGTTGTCCATCACCTCGACAATTCCTCGTCTGTCATAGTTTTCCTCTATGGCCATCCTCGTCACGGTCGCCGTTTTCGTGCTTGCCATGGTTACTGTCGTCGTCATCCCCACTCACCTTTCATGTCATCCTCTCCCCCTTTCCACCCTTCCACCTCGTCGTTGACCCCCCCCTTCCGCGTCATCCTGCCTTTTCCACCCTTCCACGTCAGCCGCAAAAGAGGTTGGAGGAGATGAATTCCGACAGAAGTGCACTGACTACGGCATGAATCAACCAATCAATCAATCATCACTGTTGTTGACGTCCCCCCTCCCCTTTCATGTCATCCTCTCCCCCTTTCCACACTTCCACCTCGTCTGCTCGCCCCCTCTTCCGCGCCATCCTCCCTTTTTCGCCCTTCCATGTCAGTTTCTCCTTTCACCCGCAAAAAGAGATTGAAGGAGATGAGTTGCGAGAGAGAGTGCATCTGAAGTGTAATGACTGTAGCAAAAATCAACCAATCAATCAATCATGACTGGAAAAAAAGAAAAAGTCGAAAAGAACCCTGAGCCTTCTTACCTTTTTGCTCACTCCTCCTCCCTCCATCACTATCGCCTTCGTCCCTCCCCGCTGCTGCTCCTTCCTCGTCCTCCCTCGATCCTCCCTCCTCCTTGATCGCCCTGTCCTCCCCCCACGTCCTCCCCCCACGTCCTCCTCCATCCATCCTCCTCCCTCCTTCCTCGTCCTCTTCACCCCATCCTCCCTCTCCCTCCTTGTTCCATCCTCCCTTCTCCTGCCTATGTCCTCTCTCGGATACGACTCTCGTTCTCTCTGTCGAGCCTCTCCCCGCAAATGCCACTCTCCCGCCGGTTCCCTTCCTACCCTCCGATGTGCTGTCCAGTCCCCTGCCCCTCCTTTCCGCCACGCCCCCGCGTCCCCTCTGTGCCGCCCTTCTCTCCACCGGGCTTGCGGCTCGCCGCGGTCGCCTACCCACAACGGATCCAAGCGCCCCTGGTCCGTTTCGATTCACACGTCGAATGGTGCCAGTCAGCCTTAACCCTGAAACTTCGTGCCGGCCACTCCCAGGTTGGACCCGGCTTCGACGGTTGAGAAACTTCGCGCCAAAAAAAAGGAAACCGACACGAACAAAAGCACCAAAAAAAAAGGAAACCGACACGAACGAAAAAAAGGAAACCGTCACGAATGAAAGCGCCAAAAAAAAAGGAAACCGACACGAACGAAACAGCCTGGGCCCAATTTCGCTGGGCCCGCTGGGACAATTTTGCTGGGCCCGCTGGGAGCGTCACGCAAGACCCGCGTTTTGCTTTAGAGTATTAGAGAAATTATTACGATCTGTTACATGTGCCTATCATTCAGCTAGAGGAGCCAGCTGAGGCCTTTGCAGGCATTCTCCCCCCCTTTTTTTTGTTTTCCTCCAAGTTCGAGTACTTTTTCCCCCTAAGAAAATAAATCCCAAGAAGACCGGGGAAAACAGCCCAAAAAAGCAAAAAAAAAAAAAAAAAAAAAACTCCTAACCTGCCAGGACCCCAGTTGCTGTGTGACCTTTCACATCTCCTCCACCGCTTTCCTTGGTCCAATTTCTTTTCTCAAAAAAAAAAAGAAAAAAAAAGACAAGAAGACATGAAAGACTTCGAAAAAGCAAAAAAAAAAAAGAAAGGTAATAAGCATTTCTGAGCTGCCAAGACAAGTATAGGCATCGTCAATTTGAAATTTCACATTGCATTCTCTCCGTTCCTTGGCCTACCTTTTTCTACCCCAAGAAATAAATCCCAGATGAAAAAAAAAAAAAAAAAATCTAAAAAAAAAAACTATGTTCTGTAGAAAATTGAAGTGCACAACGTTTGCCTCCGAATCACATCGAAATTCTTTACCAAATTGAAAACAAAAAATAAAGTTAAAAATATTTTCGTTTTTCTTTTTTGGCCCGGCTGGGCAAGTGGTCCCGGGCCATTCTGGTACCCTAGATAATTAAAAAAAACTCGATAAAAGGTATACATATTAAATATTAAATTCTGACCTGCCAGGACACCAGTATGGCCATTCGCATTGGCGGGTCTCCCTTCGGACTGCCGTGCATGGTGTTTCCGAAAACTCTGAGAAGAGATGTCGATGCGTCCAGCTGTCGAGCGATCTCGTCAAACTCGGCCTGCATCACCTCTCGAGGCCACTGCAGAGGATCGAATGAAAACTCGCTGACGTCAAACGTCAGTGCCACGACTGACAGCCAGTCAGAAAACTCCACGTCAGCAAAAGGACACTCGACAGTTCCCAAAAAGAAAAGAAAAGAAAAGAAAAAAAAGAAGCCTATTTATAGTAATAGTCTTTGAAAAACAAGAGAAGTTCAGATAACACAATTTGAAGAAGAAAAAAAAGGGAAAAGTTTTATAGAACCTCCCCACGACGAAACCTTCAAATTCATTTCACCCCCAATGGGGCAAAAAGTGCCGCAGTCCCCAAAATGACCTTTGGCGTTATTTTCCCACCCGGTAAAACACTTTCCCGCCATTTTTTTAACAGCGGGCATTACCGGCCCAGCTAGGGTGCAAAAATGACCTGAAATCTTTGACGAAAAGTCATTTTTGGGCCTGCCGCGCTTTTTGCCTTGTTGGGGGGGGAGATGAATACAAAGGTTTCGTCGAGGGGAGGTTTTATAACTTTTCAGGGAAAAAAAAGATCATTTCAAAATTCAAAAAAGTTCAAGCGAAATTCAAATACCTGATTTTTATAATGAAAAATACGATATATATGATATATATTGTCACAAAGTTATCACAGCGCAAAAGCAAAAGAAACAAAAAGTACATGTATATTTCGTAATCAAATTTCTTTCTGATTTTACTGAATATGTGAGGATACGAGTCCTTGGCATGCTGGAATGGGAGAAGCTCGGCTCTTTTTAGACTGCCCCAATTTGTAGACGGGAGCTCAAGGGAGAAGACAGGCGTCTAGTACGGAGAGCACCTGCAGCGGAAAGTCGGGTTATGCATGGTCAAGTCGGGTCATGATAAGTTAACTTGGCTTAAGTTGGGTTATGTTGGGTTAACTTGAGTTATCTCCCAACTTGATATCTGTCTTTTCCTTAACATCACACACACACGCCAGAAAAATCGTTCCTTCCCTTCAGTGGAAGATGATAGCGATCTTGGAACTCAGCTGGCTCGTGGGGTATACCCCGACTTTCCCGGGCCATACCTGCAGTTGGCCAGAATTGTTTCCACGTTCAGTACAGAAAAATCCAGTGGGAGTATGCCCGACT